GTGTGTGTGTGTGTGTGTGTGTGTGTGTGTGTGTGTGTGTGTGTGTGTGTGTGTCTGTCAAAAATTTCTGAGGAATGCTCCCAGCTCTGTTGTAGTATCTGCAAACAGGAAATGGATTCCCAGTGCCAGGAAGTAACGTCGTGGGGAGAGGAAGTGTTTGCCCGCATCCGCCCTCTGTCTGCTTGATGGGGAAGGAAGGAGAGACAGTGGGAGTGAGGAGGAGCACGGAGAGAGTAAAACAGAATACAAAAATTTAAAAAAAGAGAGAGAGAGGAGGGAGATCCAGATGACAATCTGGCTCCCATGGAAAACAGATTTTAACCCAATTGTTGCATCTTTTTATTCATCAGATATTTTTCCTTAAACCACAAAAATACTACAATAAATACAATAAACTTTAAAAATCCACCTAAACATCTATATTTGTCAAAGACCTCATGAGAGTCACAGGTGAGTCTGGTTTATAATTGTTTGTATTGTGTTATTTATCCCACTRTTTTGCTTATCATTACTACCTACTACAACAAATTTAAAAACACACTGCAGCCACAAATCACCAGCTTCCAAATCAGTGTTAAAACTGCAGATCAGGACTGAGGCTGTTCGGTCTGTAGTGCTGACTCTCCTGGATAACTTTAATCTTACCACTGTGGTTGCACTTACACGCCTGTTTTTCTGATATTTTACTGCATTAAAAAAAGCGTCTTCATAAATTCCTGTTGATTATCAGAACTGCCCCAAGACAGAAAGTGTTCTGCTGTTTCTGAGATTCAAACCTTCAGATCACAGTGACAAAGCCTTGACCTGCATTTCTGATTAGCCTACCAACTAAAAAAAAAAAAATCACATCTAGATACTCTAATAATAATTGCTCTATTCCAGAAAAGATATCTTGTGTCACAAAGAAAAATCTGAAGTTGTCGCTTTTCCTTCCGTTTCTCCTGTTTGTGTGGGATTCCAGTGTTTCTCCACCTGCAGCCTCCTGATTGGCCGGCAGCAACAAGTGACACCAGGTGCAACTGATGCCACTCATTAGCTCTGGGGGTTTGAAGGCTACTGTGATGATCTGTGCTTTGCTCAAACACTGTGGTAAAGGATTTGACTTTTTAACTTGCCCTAGTTTCTCCTGTGCCTCCTGGGAACAGCCCTCACCTCCTTGAGCTCATCACATGTCCWGGAACTCCACTCACCTGGATTCCTAACCCTCCCCTCCACGCTGCTGAGCCTCCTCCAAACTATCCTCCTGGCAAAACCTGTACATTTTGTGAATAAACACTCATTTACCTTTTTTTCTGAGTCCTTGAGTGTATTTCCTCTCAGCTGCTCTGCCTTTTGACGTTTGCAGTTTTTTTATGAAGCTGTGGTTAATGCGGCAGACTTTCAGACTCATTTTTTCTTGAGGATTTTTCTATAAGACTCCCACTTTTATTGGCAACTCACCCTCCAGGAGCACTGTGCTGGAAACAAGACTCATGCAGGATTACTGCAGTTTGTTGCTGAGGCCTTTAAATGATGAAACAAAAAAGATAGAACTGTTGCCTCTCAGCATGAAGGYTGMTGGCTCAGATTCCAGTCAGGGWCCTTTCTCTGTGGAGTTTGCATTTTCTCTCTGTGCATTTGTGGGTTTTCTCTGGGTACTCTGGTTTCCTCCCACAGACCAAAAACCAGAGTTTTAAAGTAACTAAAAATATGTTGTGACTGTACTTAAGTAGAATCTTTGGGTATTTGTACTTTACTTGAGTAATTATTTTTCAGCCTACTTTTTACTTCTTCTTCTTACATTTTCACACAAATATCCCTACTTTCTACTCCTTACATTTTTTAAAAAAACGTAAGAAGTAGAAAGTCATTATTTCATCTTTGCTTGTTTTCATTCCAGCTTGTTATTGTAAAAAATAAAACCTGTCCATATAAATTGTGCCTCCTAGACAGGGGGAATTTAATTGTGGTTAAATGAGAAGTATAAATAAATAACATTCTGATACCGTATTAGTTTGAACACACAAAAAAAATCAAGGACTTTACTCAAGAAGTATTTGTATTTCATGAATTATATTATTGCATTTGACCGCAGTCCTCAGAGAGATTTTCATGGGGAAAAGGTTTGGGCACCCTTACTGTTTTTATGTATATAAACTGAAACAGCTAGAGCATCTTAATTTTAACATAAAATAATTATTTTAATAAAATAGTCATTTCTGCATTTTTTGTGTGGGAGGTCATCTAATAAATGTCCTTACGGACATTGGAGTACTGTATAWTCTATTGGAGAACTGTATAAAGTCAGGTAGTTATTTAATGACAAGGCTCTGCTTGTGTTGTATAGTGCAATAATAGTTCCACATTTTTTACTGTATTGAAGTCGGGGGTAAAGCTTGCAAAACAATTACAAATCCAATTTTTGTTTTGCAGAAAAGAGCCACAAGAACTATCACTAAAAAAGATTACAACGATCCATCAAATACATTATTTTGCAAACTGAACATTTTGAAATTCTATGATTTGGTTGATTATAATATTTTATTGTTTATGTACAAGGCTCACAGAAACATATTACCTTCCAACATTCAGGCAAACTTTGTTAAGAGAGACAGTTGTTATTATCTAAAGGGGATGGAAATGTTTGTGAAGCCATATTTTTGTACTTGTTTGAAAGAAAGATACTTTAATCCAGGGTATAGTTTAATCCAGGATATAGTTTTATCCAGGGCATAGTTTTATCCAGGGCATAGTTTAATCCAGGGTATAGTTTAATCCAGGGTATAGTTTAATCCAGGGTATAGTTTAATCCAGGGTATA